AAATAAATTAGAAGAAAGGAGGGACAAAATTTGGTGTCAACAATGGCTATTTGTGAAAATATCTCCTTTTTTTTCCACATGGTGTTCGAAGTCTGTATTGAAACTCCAACTAAATCCGAATTACGTACTGCAAGACCGATTCGATGATGATGATGACACTCTCAACAAGATTTTCTTTATATTAGGGCTTGAGTCCGAAGCTTCTAGTTAAAAGTGAAACAACCCACCAATGCACCACAATCATGTTGGTAACCTATTATCAGTTCAAACTACTAACATAAATAGTAGAAAATAATAAAGGAAGCAGGACTAGAGTGGATGCCCGACGGGACTGGGTGTCTTTGAGATTGAATAACTAGAATGAATCATAATCTAGAAATTAGTCCAAAATGTACAGTAAATTTGACGAAATTGAGTAAAATGTGAACCCATTTCTTGTACGAAGGATAAGAAATTATACCCCGTGATACATGTGTGACCAAGGATATTAAAGAAAAAAACATGCAAAAAGAGTCAAATTTCCAATCAGAAACTATTAATTAGACCAAAGGGACGATCACACGAAAGAGCAAAGTCGACATACTGGAATGGAAAATCATAAAATATTGCTTAGAAGTCCACATCGGTAGAAGGATGAAAAATTGGTTTCCTTATATAGATTTGGACAAACTTCCCTTCATGAAATAACTTTTGAGGTTAAGTTAGGTCCAGATATCATATCTTTAAATGGTATTAGAGCCAAATCCATCCCAAAAAAGTGTTAAAGAAGTCCCACATTTATAAAAAAATAAAAAAATTGATCTCATTATATGGGTTTGGACAAACCTCCACACAATTAATCAAGCTAGTATTAGTCATTTTTAGTGGAACTTCAAATAAGTCGACTTTCAGAAAATCAAATCGCCAATTCTGAAAGTTGAATTAAGTGATGTGACAACTATCCGTTTCGTCTATTATTTTCCTATTACTCCCTCGGTACTTAATTAGTTATTTATTTTTAAATTGACACACCTATTAAGAAATAATTATTGATATAATGAGTTTATCATTTTACCCCTATTAATTATGAAGTAGATGAATTAAAAACTTAAAATTTTCAACAAGTTCTAACTTTTTAAAAGTAATTAATTGAGGGTATAATATGTAAAAATATTTTGTCCTTTCTTGATTTGTCAAAATGAACAAGTAATTAAGGACAACTAAAAAGAAAAAATGAACAAGTAATGAGGAACAGAAGGAGCATAAAATAGGCAACAGGTAAATGTTTTTTTTTTAGCAACTTTCACATATAACAAACACAAAAATCATATTTGTATGTTATAGCTATAGTTTGCATAATTGTGTTCCATAGCAAACATAAATATGTATATTTCGCTATACATATACAAAAGAAAGCAGTTGTATATAATCTGTTTCTGTTTCGATATACATATACAAAAGATCAATTGTATAATTTGTGTTTGTATAAAGAGAGAAAGGCAAAAGAGAACTGGGCAGGAGAATATTTGTACTGTATAATTATAAGTGTATAGGACGAAGATATATGTATTTGCATGTGTATATATACAATTTTCTCTCGCTTTATACAAACAGAAACACAATTTATACATTTCTGTTTGTATAAGCGAGAGAGGCGAGGGAGAGACTGACGAGCGAGATCTGTGAGAGGGGAACGAAAATATATGTATATATACAGTTTTCTCTCGTTTTATACAAACACAAACGCATTTTATACATTTGCATTTGTATAAAAAGCGAGAGGTGAGGGAGAGAACGAGAGTGGCGAGCGAGATTCACCAGGAGAGAGGCGAAATAGCAACAGTTTGCTATGGATTACAATTAAATCAAACTATATTTATAACATTTAATTTGAATTAATAATTTACTATTATATACAATTTTCTCTTTTTTTTTTACAATATGTTGTTATAATAATAAAAGAATATCTCAATAAATGACACCAATATAAAGAAATTTGATTGTACGTATCTTCCTTTATAGTGTTGAAATTATATTATGCTCAAATATTAATAGTTTAATAGGACAGGTGTATTCCATTTTGCACACAAAAGAAATAAGTAGTTTTTAACATTGTAAATTCATATATTATCGCTTAGAAATAATTATTTTTAGGTACTTTAAAATTTAAACCTACAACAACAATAACAATAATATATTCATAAAATAAAAAAAATAAAATATATTCAATATAATCTTACAAATAATATTTTAAATAAGGTCAAGTGTACACAAACTTTATCAAAACAGATCTTAAATAAAATATCTCAAAAAATAGGAATGGAGGTAGAAATAATAACAAAACAAAGTAAAATGGAGAGCAACACAGCAAAAATTAATAATTTCGTTGTCTCAATTTATGTAAGCATTATTTGATTCGCCAAAAAAATTAAGAAAAAAAAACTTTTGAAATTTATGGTATAAAATAAATATTTAAACATTTGTATAGTCATAAATAATTTCACCAAGTGTAATAAGTAAAATTTCAAAATTAAATAATTTTCAATTATAAATATTATTTTAGATACTAAAAAAGAAAGTTTGCAGTATTACGTTGTTTCATTAATCGCTTATACATTGAAAGAAAATAACGTCTACTAATAAGCTTCTTAAAGTTAGTAAATTTCTTCAATGATGTTACCTCTCTCCATTGACTTTCAAAGTTTTCCCTTCTTCTAATAAAATAATAAAATAATAGTAGTTGGGTTTAATGCACATCTATCTATAAAAGGAGAACAACTTCCAGTTGTTTCAACAGTATTTCTTCTATTTTATAAAAACTAATTGAAATAGAAAAGAAAATGATTTCCTTATTTGCAGTTTTTCCATTCTTAATTTTCTTGGCATTTATTGTGTTATCATTTTTTCAGCTTTCATCCAAAAAATGCAAGAAAAATCTTCCTCCATCTCCTCCAAAACTTCCTTTCATCGGAAACTTTCACCAATTGGGGCAACAACCACACCGCTCTCTCCAAAAATTAACGAATGAATATGGCCCAATGATGATGCTTCAGTTCGGCAGCGTCCCTGTATTAATCGCTTCCTCAGCCGAAGCAGCTTCCCAGATCATGAAGACTCAGGATCTGGGTTTTGCTAACAAGCCCAAATCCATTATTCCCAGCAAGCTTTTTTTCGGTCCAAAAGACGTGGCCTTCACTCCATATGGTGATTACTGGAGGAACGCCCGAAGTGTTTGTATGCTTCAGCTTTTGAACAACAAAAGAGTCCAATCCTTTAGCAAAATTAGGGAAGAAGAGACTTCTCTTCTTCTCCGAAAGATTAACCACTCAATTGACAATTCACAAGTTGTTGATTTGACGGATCTGTTTGTGAGCATGACGAATGACGTGCTTTGCAGGGTGGCATTAGGAAGGAAGTATTGTGACGGCGAAGAAGGGAAAAAATTCAAATCATTGGTAATAGAGCTTGTTGAGTTGTTGGGGGTTTTTAACATCGCCGATTACATGCCTTGGCTTGCGTGGGTGAATCGTTTCAACGGTTTAAATGCCAAAGTGGACAAAGTAGCTGAGGAGTTTAGTGCATTTTTGGAAGGTGTAATTGAGGAACACAAGGAGAAGATCAAAATAGATGAGAAAGAGGAAGGATCAGCAGACTTTGTGGATATATTGCTTCAAGTTCAGAAAGAAAACAAGTCGGGTTTTAAAGTTGAGATGGATTCGATTAAAGCTATTATCATGGATATGTTTTCTGCAGGAACAGATACAACCTCCACTCTTTTAGAATGGACAATGAATGAACTCATCAGAAATCCAAACACGTTGCGGAAATTAAGAGACGAGGTGAGACAAGTAACTCAAGGGAAGTCGGACGTGACAGAGGACGACTTGGAGCACATGCCTTATTTAATTGCAGTGATGAAAGAGAGTCTACGTCTTCATTCTCCGGTGCCTTTGCTTCCTCGGGAAGCAATAAAGGACACCAAAGTATTGGGCTACGACGTGGCTGCTGGAACTCAAGTCTTTGTTTGTCCTTGGGCTATCTCTAGGGACCCGACCATATGGGAAAATCCAGAGGAGTTTCAACCAGAAAGGTTTTTGGATAGTTGTGTAGATTACAAAGGGTTAAATTTTGAGTTAATTCCATTTGGTGCGGGTAGAAGAGGTTGTCCTGGAATCACATTCGCTAAGGTTGAGAATGAATTGGCATTGGCAAGAATGTTGTTTCATTTTGAATTCTCGTTACCAAATGGAGCAAAAGCGGAAGACTTGGATGTGGATGAAGCTCTAGGAATTACAGTGAGACGAAAGTTCCCTCTCTTAGTCGTTGCAACTCCACGCATTTGATTTCTTATGTTTTATGTAGCAATGCCTTTGGAAGTTGTCTTTCATCTTGAGATTTTAGCATGATACTACTGCAAGGTGGGCTGCCTCCAACATACACCAGGCAAATAATGTTTCTTTTTTTTTTTGTCTTTTCAAAATTGTTAAATATATTTCCCAAGTATCTTTGTTCATTAGATTAATGTATCAATATATTTGATAAATATGAATCAGTATTAACGAACGAGGTGAGACCTTATTTTGAGCTTATCTATTTCTCCAGTTGGCCACACTTCCAGAGTTGTTTTTAATTTAAAGAGATCTTCGTTTGTACTAGAGTCCTGTCAAGTTGAAGGGAAAATAAACTAACAAAATTACATTTACTATACTTCTTCCCCTGTTTCAGTTTATTACTTTTCTTTTAGTCCGTTTAAAAAAAAGTTGTCTTTTTCTGTCTTTAATATTTCTTTGGTTTCAATTTTTCCACGTGCATGTTTAGATAACAAGATCAAAAGATATTTTAATGTATTCTACATATCCTACCGAACAAACAGATTGGATTCTATTTATTGTGATCATCATCATGTAGTTCTTTACCGATTACTCAAAATCCAAGAAAACATTGTCTCCTTCTCCATAGAATTGAAACTTCCAATGAAACAACTTTCCATGACAGAGTAGTAGTTTATTTATAAAAGTAACATGGAGATATTCAATTTATCAATGCGACATCTTAGTATATTCCGATATCTTATTTATGGACTATGATTTGCTTATTTGGCAAGATTGTATAAGAATTGAGGAATTTTGATAAATTCACAACTTGTGGATTTTCATGTTTATGAGAAAAAAATACTACTTTAGAAAAATTCAAATTCCATATCCAAACAAAATATCAACTTCGGATCAATCATTGATTTCAAATCATGTCTAAACGGGGCCTAAAAATAGATTTGTGTTTTTTGTGTCCCCTTTAGTTAGTGTGGTTGAAGCTTCTTTGAATAAGTGCTCATACTCATCAATAACTGGGTTTCCTCTTCAAAGGGATTCATTGAAAGCTATCCTCTTGGTAACATCAGCTTCTTTCACAATATTTATTCCCTCCTTGGCGTGTTTTGTTAGTATAATTTTGAACATAAACATATTGTTTCAGTTAAAAAATTAGTGACTAATTAGAATATCACTCCATTATTCCTCCACATACACCAGCATAACAATCTTAGTTTGTTTGCGTAGAATATATTTGCTACTGGTACGGATACAACATATACAACTCTACAGTGGATAATGGCAGAGCTTTTGAGACATCCAAGAGCCATGGAAACATTACTGAATGAAGTGCGAGGATTAGCCCAAGGTAAATCAGAGATAACAGAGGATGACTTAGGAAATATGCACTATCTTAAGTCAGTAATCAAAGAGACACTTAGGCTTCATCCACTGCTAGATCCTCGAGAATCAACAGAAGACATAAAATTACTTGGCTATCAAATACCTGCTAAAACTCAAGTCATTATCAATGCTTGGGCAATCGGAAGAGATCCTTTATCATGGGAAAATTCAGAGGATTACCGACCAGAGAGGTTCTTAAATAGTAATATTAATTTCAAAGGATTAAACTTTGAGTTGATTCCATTTGGAGCAGGCAGAAGGGGCTGCCCAGGAACTGCTTTTGCTGTTGTGGTAATTGAGGTAGCATTACCAGAAGGATTAAAACCGGAGGATTTGGATATGACGGAAGGCAGTGGCATCACTGTTAAAATAAGTCATTAGTGATTAGTGAATGAATTGGTTAGTTACAGTAATTAGTTGGTTAATTACATGAGTCTGTTAGAGGTTGTTAGGATGCCATGTGCAATGGCATGTGCAGTGATGGAGTTACTTGATCACATTCTAGATGCTTCTAATATTAGTCTATAAATACATTCTTTCAGTGTGATGTAGCACAATTTTTCTCAAGATGAATAAAATCTTCTCCCTTTTCTTCTGTTCATAATTCTTCTGTTTGTTCATTTCTGTTTAGAAGAGTTCTTGAGCTCTAAAATCGACAATCACTATTCATAGGAAATCACCTCTGCTAGCAGTGGCCACTCCATGCTCTACTTATTATTAGTAGTTTTTCTTCTCTCCATTTTTACCTATTTTTACCCCCTCTTATGCGTTTCCACTCTTTTTTTGTCCTTTTAAAAGTGATTTTAACCTTTATGCTTCTATATTACTAGTTTCACGGCACGTGCGTTGCATATATAGTATACAATGTTGTTAAATAGAATTAATATTTTTAGTAAATATTTATAATTGAAAGATCATAGGACCAATGTTTTTAAATGATTAATACATATTATCATAGTGTTACTTGTATTTTGAGATCATATTGACCAGATATCATTGAAACATTTCAAAATACATTCAGAATTTAAATATGGTGAGAAAGTGACCTTTTTTTAGTAGTATTATTTTTACTTCACTCTATTTTGTAAACAAATCTAACCAACAATTTTAAAAAAAATAATATCAATAGCCTTTCTTCTTGATTTTATGAACAAAAATGATTGACACCATTTAAGTACAATTATTCTCTTAAAAATGCATACTTGAAATTTAGTATGTGCATGCACTAATAAGGGAACTAATAAGGATTACAATAAATATTTCAATATTTTATCTTTATACGTAATCTATTTTTTACAAATTTTTATTACTCAATTAATATTCAAGTAAGACTATCATAGAGAGGTAATTTTACAAAAAAAAAAAAAGGTACTTTGTTGTTATAACAAATGATGGTTATATAGAGGCTTGAGTGTATGTCAAATATTTAGCCTGACCAACACTTTGTTATATATATACATTTTAGTAGCATAATTTAATTTTAATATATGAACATCACATTTGGTGAAAAATATTTCATTTCATTAAGTTTCTACATTATCTTTGTAGAATTGTAGTCTTCTCATTTGTTTTGCCGCATACATATCATATAGTTATTGTCTAATGAAAGTATGTAGTATCTTATAGAAGTTGTATCGTGATATAAAATATTTACCTTTTTCAATAATAAAAATTAATTGATGAATAAAATTTAAAGTGTTATTTATAGAATCCTTAATTTGATTTAAGAATATTTTATGACCAATCACTATTTCTATCTATTTTTATATAGCTATCAAGGAGTGTATCCTATGACATAACATTTTCTAAAATTAAAATGAGCAAATAATAGAAAATTCATATTTAAAAAATTGTATACTCAATACAAATATAAAAAAAGAAAAAATATATAGAACATTACATAGCCAATGAAGAAGGAAGACGAAAATATATGTCCATGCTATATTCACAATAGTGTTTCATTTGATTGAAATATCTTCCCACCAACTCGTTACTTTCTTAATTCCTTTTTACTTACATATCTATTAAAAAATAATTATTATCATGATAATATTATCATATTATAAGTAAAAGTGAAAATATATTTTTGAAATAGTGGATATAACATCAAAAACTAATAATTCAATGGACTATGTTGATGCCCGTTGTTATAGTAAAATTAGAAAGAAACTCCTTCGTTTGAGGGTGAAAGAATAAAAAATGAAAAAATAAAGAAGAAATATCTTACCCAAATCATGTGACTTTTTTAACATTTGTTTATTATTATTGTATTTCTCACAACTTTTTGTTACTATTAACTCATGAAAATTGTAAGAAAAAATATGAGTGTGAATTAATGAATGATTTGCTACAATTTGTTCATGGACTCTTTCTTATGTGGTACCTCGAATTTCGTTGAATTTTTAACTTAATCAACTGTTCCAAATAAATCTTGAGATTTTTTAAGAAGAAGAAGAGTAGAAAACTTAAAAAAAATCGTAGTTTAAAAGTGAGAAGAAACCCTCTATAGATAGCTAACAAATAGTAGTATGAATAGGTGCTAATTGTGCCTTATCAGAAAAGTTACAACCATTCGAAAAAGACACAACTCATCGAAAAAGGCACAACTCTTTGGAAAAGTCACAACTCTTTGGAAAAATCACAACCCTTCGAAAAAGTCACAACTCATCGAAAAAGTAACAACACATTGAAAAAGTCACTACCCTTTGAAAAAATCACAACCCTTTAATGTGAAAAGGTATTTACTTTTAATATTATTAAATTAAGAAATAAAATAAACTGAGTATTTTTAATTGGGGGTATTATAGTAATTCAACATTCAAGTTTGAGAGTTTACGCTTTTAAGGTAGTATAGATGCATATTACTTACTTATCTTAGTTATGTCATGGAATGAGAGAAGACTCAAAATTATCCCTCATCTTTGGGTTAAGAATCAAAGTCATCCTTTAGTTTTCATATGAAGCACTAATTGTCCCTCATGTTTTCAATATTGGTGCACTTTTGGTCCTCTCCTAAACTTTTGCCTATGTTTAAAACGAATTTTAGATATTTGTGTGCCTTAAATTATTTCATCAAGGGTATAAGGAAAATTCTATATTTAAATGGTTTCTAATTATGAAAATGTGACCTTTTATTGAACAAACTACAAAGTATTATGTTAACAATTTCTGTAATGATTGCCATATTAAGCGAATATTTGCTAATATTAAAATTGATAAAATCATACCTAAAATTATACAATTAAAAAAAGTTTAAAAAATAAATTTTAAATAAAAGTATATATAAAAGTACTTTAAATTTTAAGCCTCTAGTTAAAAATTCTCTTTAGGTCTCAAAATATATTGAGCCGCTGGTAATTATACCAAACAAAATTTGTGGTTAAAGTTTGAGTGGGTTATCTGTTGTGTCGTGAAATGATGAAAATAATATAATAGTGGTCACTCGTCTCCTTTAGTTTCAGCTTGGTATGTAGACTAAAAAAAATGTCTTATGTGACACAATATATATAATATGCTACGTAGGACATGCATGTTAATTTGTTTTACTTTATTCAAATTTTAATATCTATTTGTGCACAATCAAAATTGAATGATATAAATATCAGTTACTAACATTGTTAAAGTGCACATATAGATTTATCTCCTCAATTCTACTTCGTGTGCTTTTCTTCATTTTCTTCTTTCGTTGATTTTTTACTGATTTCTTTCTCAGTATTATTTGCTTGTAGGCTAACACTAATTAGTTGGTGATTTTTGTACGTAAATCCACATTAGTTTTCCTCAAATGCTCATCCAAGTTGTAAATATAGTTTAATATTATATTCTACAAAGCAAGCAAGTTGAATGTTTACAAATGGGCCATGTTATTTTAAGACTCATTAAACTCATTTTTAAAGTATTTTACCAACTTAGGTAACGAAAGTCTCATTTTCCACCGAAGTCAATGAGCGAAGACAAGTAATCTACATAATATATGGGTGAACTTTGCTTTAAAAAGCAAACTCCTATCTCAATTTTGAGCAATCATCAAATTGCCCCTTTTATCTTATACATTGTCTATTTTAAGCGACACAACAAGCATATTAAAATATGGTCTATCAAGTTATTAATTTCTTGCATCAAATTCTACTATTTTAACTCTATCATTTTAATAAAAACATTATCAAACTTATCATTGATAGAATTATGTTAACAATTTTTGTAATGATTGCCACAGTAAAAGAATGTTTGTTAATATTGAAATTGACTTACTTAAAATTAAACAATTAAAAAAATGTTAGAAAATAAATTTTAAATAAATATATAAAATTACTTTAAATTTTAAGCCTCTAATAAAAATTTCGGTCTCAAAATATATTGAGCCACCTGTGACCCTACTAAACAAAATTTGTGGTTAAAGTTCGTTTGGGTTATCTTTTGTGTCGTGCAATAATGCAAATAATGTAATTGCGGTTGACCCTACATAATATGCATGTAAGATGCTAGTAGGATGTACATATTAATTTGTTTAATTTTATACAAATGCTAAGTAGGATGTACATATTAATTTATAAATACTTTAAATTTTAAGCCTCTAATAAAAATTTCAGCCTCAAAATATATTGAGCCGCCTGTGACCCTACCAAACAAAATTTGTGGTTAAAGTTCGCTTGGGTTATCTTTTGTGTCGTGCAATAATGCAAATAATGTAATTGCGGTTGACCCTACATAATATGCATGTAAGATGCTAGTAGGATGTACATATTAATTTGTTTAATTTTATACAAATGCTAAGTAGGATGTACATATTAATTTATAAATACTTTAAATTTTAAGCCTCTAATAAAAATTTCAGCCTCAAAATATATTGAGCCGCCTGTGACCCTACCAAACAAAATTTGTGGTTAAAGTTCGCTTGGGTTATCTTTTGTGTCGTGCAATAATGCAAATAATGTAATTGCGGTTGACCCTACATAATATGCATGTAAGATGCTAAGTAGGATGTACATATTAATTTGTTTAATTTTATACAAATTTTAGTGTTTATTATACACACTTAAAATTAGATGACATAAATATCTATTGAGACCAAATTAAAATACACGTATACTTGTTTTACTCGAAAATGTAAATAAAAGAAAAATGACTAAGTTTCGAAAAATCGATCAAACTTATGATTTAAGCGAAATCGAATTTCCAGAAGAACAGAGTCGCCACTTAATTTTTTAGTAAAAATCAAGAAAAACTCAAGGTTTTCAAAAGACCTAAACAGATAAGATCAATTGAAAATAACAAGGGTCGAAGTTCAATGTACATTCCGAGAAGATGTTAGCCCTCGAAATGCCCGCTAACTTGCGGTTGACCGGCGATTTAATTAAAATGACTTTTCAACTAACTTTTAAAATTTTTATCATGTAAAAAGAACTCATTCATTTTTTATTTATTTATTTATTTTTATTTTTTAAGGGGAACAATTAAAGGAAATTATTCTAAAGGGAATAATTCAAATTGCAAGATAAATAAAATAAAGCTAAATATAAAATAAAATAAATATTTTTATTTGAATATGAAAAAGAAATGGCCATCTTTGGGAAATTAATTAAGTTAAACCAAAGATCAAATAAATGTTAGTCAAATAATAACAAATAAATAAGAGCAAAGAAAGGAATATTGAATTTGGGCCTTTCCCAAATCTGTTGAACCTGTCCTATTCTAAAAATTCCCAACATGATTTTGGGCCCT